CAAGTCCTCCCTCTCCTACCCCAGCTCAGGCAGTAGAAGCCCCCTGACACCCAGAGTCCCCCTCATTTCCTAGATTTTGTGAAAGCCCCAACACCCTGTTCCCCCCTCCCCATTTTCAAGCTAACTAAAATATTTATATACAAACAACAAAAAAATTGTCATAACAGCAACAAACCAAACTTTGGCTTGGGAAAAAAAAAAGTTAAAAACCAACAATAAAACCAGAAAAAAAAAAAAGGTGGCCAACAGGCTGGCAGTTTGGTGTCCCCTTTATCTAGCTATTCCTCCAGAGAATCAATAGCTTCAGGGTCTCTAGCTTAACTAATGGCTCCCTGTTTGAGGTGCCTCCTCTCTGCGGTGCACGGAGAGGCTACGTGTGTCGCTGGGGAAGGGCGAAAAAACACGCGGCTGGGCCAGGACACCTCCCTGGGAGCTCTGCTTGTTGACATCACTTAAGTTTGGTGTCCCCTTTATCTAGCTATTCCTCCAGAGAATCAATAGCTTCAGGGTCTCTAGCTTAACTAATGGCTCCCTGTTTGAGGTGCCTCCTCTCTGCGGTGCACGGAGAGGCTACGTGTGTCGCTGGGGAAGGGCGAAAAAACACGCGGCTGGGCCAGGACACCTCCCTGGGAGCTCTGCTTGTTGACATCACTTAGTGTTAAATGCAGGAGGTTTCCTATCCTGGAGTCAACAGTGGATGGAGAAGCCGGCGTGCGGCAGGAATTGGAGAAGCTCCACCAACAAACCCCCACTCCAAGCAGCCCCTCCTGGACATGGTGAACTCACCCCAGAACCAACCGAGGGAGCTGAGGCAGCCTGACAAGGCCACGCTTCTGCATTTCTCTAACACGTGGTTAGAGAACCCACCTCTGATCACTGGGGTTACTGGGAGCACTCTCAGAGCCAGCAGCTGAGCGGGGAGGTCTCGAGAGCAGCGACCCCTGCCACAGCCAAGCTCACGCAGTCATCTGAAAATGCTGACTCTGAAACACAGCGAAATCACTGTACGTGAGAGCAGAAGGGAGGGGAGGTGGTCTCGAGAGTTATGGAGCCCTCCCCGTAACAGTCTCTCTACTTCTAATATGTAGTGTCTATACGGACTCAGCAGAACACGTGCACAACTTTCTATGAGAGGCTGGGCAAAAAAGACCCAGGGGCTCCAACGCAACTATGGAAGAGCCTGAAATAGCTCATGGTGGGAAGTTCCTATGAATTCAGAGCTTGCACAAACTGCTTCTGCCTCCCTTCAAACTCCTGACTGAAACAAAACTACTTCAGGATTATGTTTAGATGTAAAAGACCCTCTTTCCCCACATAAACCCACGCGCTTGCCCCTTGCCTAAAGCAGCTTATACGTGACTTGTTTTTCCTCACTCGTGTTCTTCAAAACAGATCACTTGCCGAAGCGCCTAAGCGGCTCAGTATGAACAGGAGAGACCTTGCACGCTGGACCTCGGAGCGCCCGAGCACGGCACTGATGCATGGATCTTCTGCCAGCTTTCTTCCTCTGCAAGGCTGCAAGCGCTTCACCTCTGCAAGCTTAATCGCTTGCTGTCCGCAACAGAGGTACTCTGTGTGATGCTGCACTGCATCTGCCACTCCTCGAGGAAAGAAGGGGAGGAAAGGGACAGCAAGGGAGAAAGATCTTGAAAAGGAGGAAGGAAAACTAAGATAATTACAGCCACCAGCAATGGACAACAACCAGCTAGAGTAAGTTGTGTGTGGGGTGGAAAGCTCATCCTCATCAAAAACTCCTTTCAGAGTCTTGTCCCCTATACAGCAGGTAACAGCCAAAGTCTCTGAGCAGGTTGAGGAAGTCTTCTCTTGCCAAGTCTAAAATCCTGACACTGCTGAAAACTGTCCCAAACCTGTGCGCGTCAGACGGTGATAAAAACGAGGAAAGTCTCTGCATTTCCCCCATTTCCAAATGTAAATGACTATTTCCCACCAGCATTTAGGTCCCAGCCACAGCCAAAGAGTGCTTCCTTCTGCAGACCAGAAACACGGCAGGTGGAGACTTCTCCCTCACGTCCTCCTGTCTCACAGGCACCAAGCACCAGACCCAGGGAAGTAACTCTGTCTGCATGTTCCTGATTAATTGCATGATATCGGTTTCTAACAGCTTTCCTTATCGCTAATCGCCTTTTCCGTGATTGGTAGGATAAGCTATGCACCAACATACAGACACGGAAATGCATTATTTTTACCACAGTTAAAAAAAACCCCAAAAACAAAAAACCAAAAAAATGCACAATCTTTGGAACAAAAGAATTAAAGGCAGAAATTTAAAGGAAAAAAAAAAATACATATTCAAAGAACATAGTGAGGTATAAAAAAGTATTTTCTCTTTTGTTTTTTGTTTTTCCTCCTCGTCTTGCTATAGAGTTCCTCTACTAGTAAATATTGCAATAGCCAGGCCTCATGAACTGGGGGGGCTGTCCCACTCGCAGGGGGCTCACGTCACTTCAGTAGGGGGCAAATCGGCTGTAGCCACCTCGGTATAAACTCGCCTGTAGAAATTAAACGAGAAAAGAAGAGGTTGTTAGGAGGTGAACTGTGAAGAAATACTCAGGACAGCACCCCAATGCTCTCAGAAGGACTAAAGGACACATTCTGGCACTGACCCGTCGCTATTGGCACCTCTAAGAAGCAAGAGAGGAGAACCTTGCCTGCAGAACCAAGGACACAGCTCAGGAGGGGACACGCTCATGACTAGCCAGCTGGATGTGAAGTCTGGCAAGTCTCAGTCGAAGGGAGTTCAGTGACCAGAAATGGGACTCATGAGTCCTAATCTCTGAGTCAGTTGTCTAGGCTGTCTGTACAGGCAGCAGAGACCAGCCCTTCGAGGATGCTCCTCACCTCACCCTGAGGTAAAGTTTAAAACGGACACAAGGACCGGGTATCTTAGAAGCACCTGCGTTTCCTCCACTGACCCTAAAGAGAATCCACATGATGAGCCGAGGCTCGGAGGTGCTATGCTGCGGATATCTGTATTTAAGTGTCTCTTTCTCTGAACACATTTGTATTCCAGCCTTTGCAACACCTCAGATACTGCGCTGGCTAGCAGCAGATGGGTAAGCACGCCTTTTCAGCAAGCTGCTCCACTCCCCTCCGATGCCAGCATACCTCAATTCCTGCCCTTGCGCAACTACTGCTGGCAGGCAGGACACCACATCCTTCCACTAGTGGAAGACAGAACCAAGTGGAGCAGCTTTGCTGCAAGATGTCACAAGAACAACTTACTCCCTTGCTTCCCAGAACCAATTTCTCAACATCCAAAATGAGCCTTTAAGGTTAACCAAAGTGGCAAGAAAGGGTGTCTTGCACCTCTAACTACGGCTGATTTTTGCTCTGTATATCACCTTGATACAGTTCTACTGATTCACCAACAACGTTCTGGCTCCTGACATTTCTGGTCACTCTTCTGCGATCTCCTTTGTACTAGGGGATGTGCAAGACCAAGTGACAACTGGTCTCCTACAACCTGGCTCCTTCCCTAGTGCACGCACACAAACATACAAGTGCAGAACAACTGGGAACCCAGCACTGCAGCTAAGGACCTCCTCAACAAAGAAGTATTTCTAGGTGAAGTTTTATTACCTGATACCCAGTGAACAGCTGTTCCCCATGCTGGAAATGAGAAATGAAAATGCTGGAAATTAAAAATCCCACTTACCACAGCGCCAACTCCGTAGCTAGCGGCAGGGGCAAGGGCATGGTAAGGATCTGCTGTGTACCCCGTCACTTTGCAGGGGCAGAGACCAGCCGAATGACCACAGGCAATGGAAGAAGCAGCATGCCCTCCTACACACATGTATGCACACATGCACACAGGCAGCCCCTCTTCGAAGAGATCCTATGGGCATGCTGCCATGCATCGTATGAGGTGGACGACAGAACGGCCTGCAAGGAGGAATGCGGCAGCGCTCATGAGTTCAACCTGTAGGAAAGAGGTCGGCACCTTTGAAATGACAGCCAGCGCATCCCTTACCTCGCGTGATGCAGTTTAGGAGAAGAGTGACTGCTGGCGCTAGCGCTGCTGGCACAGTAACAGCTGCTAAATGGGAAGCAGTGAGGGATTCTCCAGAACGAAAAGGGAGCATAAACTTTAATGGTCTCGCATGCGCTAGGATTAAAACATGGCCTCGCTGCACAGGGGATGAAAAATCTTAAGGCAAGCACTCTGACAATGATAATCCTTTGCATCTATACAGAGCTGCACGTTCAAGCATCCGACAGTAGTCTATGAGCTGAGCAATTTTTAATTTATGGATGGGGAGAGCAATACACCCAGTGATTAAACAACCTGCCCAGAGTCACAGAGGAAGGAGCTGGCAAGGCAAGCCAGGTCTTTTGACTCTGAGGCCATAACCACGCTGCCTCCTTTGTGCAGAGAATCACCAGGACAGGGGAGAGGCCAGGATCTGTGCCAGCTCCAGGGAAGCGGCCAGGATCTGTGCCAGCTCACACACACCGGGGTGCGACACCGCCCAGGAGCAGAGAGACAAACCGTGCGCTCAAGTCTTTCATGTTGGGTTGTGCATGCACGTGTGCGCATGCGAGCGCGAGTAAGACAAAGAAAGGGGAAGAAGTAGAAGTACTGTCATGGATCAATGCTCCTTGAATCCCTGAGCACAGCAAGCTAGCCCCCACGGCCGCCTCCCCCTTACATACCCATCGCTGTAAGCTGCTGCAGCTGCTGGCGGGGGGCGGGGCGGGCGTTGTCGTAGACGCG